GCCTTGCTCATTCACACCTCATTCATTCAACAGGGCAATTGATTAAGAGAGTGGGGGGAAAGCTCTTGTTCTACTCCTAGCAAAAAATTTTTCTTCTATCTTATTCTATCCTTAGGGGCTATAATATTATACCAAGGGCAATGCAAAGTTTTTAAATAAGGCTTTAATACGAAGTCCCATAAAAACAGAGGTCTCACATGGGTAGACCCACCACAAGGTTATACGAAAAGGCACAATGTAAAGTCATATAAAAATTATTAGAGATTTATCTACAACTTGCGACCCCTCCCAGCTTGGTATCGTCCGCAAACTCTATCAGTGAACTCTCTATGCCATGATCTAAATCATTGCTGAAGATATTGAACAGAACCGGACCCAGAACTGATCCCTGCGGGACCCCACTCGTTATGTCCTTCCAGCCTGACTGTGAACCACTGATAACTATTCTCTGGGAACTGTTTTCCCACCAATTTTGCACCCATCTTGTAGTAGCTCCATCTAGATTGTATTTCCCTAGTTTGTTTATGAGAAGGTCATGCAAAACTGTACCAAAAGCCTTACTAAAGTCTAGCTATACACATCTACCACTTTCCCCTCATCCACAAGCCTTGTTACCCTGTCAAAGAAAGCTATCAGGTTGGTTTGACACAATTTGTTCTTGACAAATCCATGCTGGCTGTTACTTATCACCTTATTATCTTCTAGGTGTTTGCAAAGTGATTCCTTAATTATTTGCTCCATTATCTTACCTGGTACAGAAGTTAAGCTGACTGGTCTGTAATTGCCTGGGTTGCCCTTGTTTCCCTTTTTATAGACGGGCGCTAGATTTGCCCTTTTCCAGTCTTCTGGAATCTCTCCTATCTTCCATGACTTTTCAAAGATAATCGCTAATGGTTCAGATATCTCCCCGGTCAGCTCCTTGAGTGTTCTAGGACACATTTCATCAGGCCCTGGTGACTTGAAGACGTCTAACATGTCCAAGTACCTTTTAACGTGTTCTTTCCCTATTTTAGCATCTGAACTGACCCCATTTTCACTGGCATTCACGATGGCAACCTTCTTGGTGAAAACTGAAACAAAGACGTTATTAAGCACCTCTGCCATTTCCACATTTTCTGTTATTGTCTTTCCCTCTTCATTTAGTAACGGGCCTACCCTGTCCTTGGTCTTCCTCTTGCTTCTAATGTATTTGTAGAATGTTTTCTTGTTACCTTTTATGTCTCTAGCTAGTTTGATCTCGTTTTGTGCCTTCGCCTTTCTAATTTTGTCCTGACTTAACTGGATGGTCGTGATTCGATAGATGAATACGCCCGACTCCAGGCCCATCCCAGCTTTGATCTTGGCCACATCCTTGGTGGCGCATCCTCTGGCTGCGAAAGGGATTTTGATGTTGATGTTTTCTGCCCAGAGAAATTGGCACCTTGATGGGGGTCCCGAACACTCCCCTCAGGGTCATGTAGGCATCGGGCACTAGCTGGTCTGGGTCCACCACCCTGGACCGCACCAGCGTCACCTCTGCGCCCGTGTCCCAGAACCCCTGGACGCTCCTTCCCCTCACCTCAATGGGGATGATGTGGCGATTGTCCCCCGAGGCCTGTCCCATGCTCACCCGGCGGATTGGGTACGGGCGCTCCAGACCTGGGGCCCCGCCTTCCCCTGCTGGCCTGGCCTGGCGGTCCCCTCCCCCTGGCACAGCCCTCTCGACTGCGGCCCCTGGGCCTGGCGGTGCCCCCTCTCGGTGGGCTTCCCCCCCAGCTGACACCCCGCGGGTTCTGCTTGGCCGCCATTTCCTTCATCTTCAGGCACTGTGCCACCTTGTGTCCCTTTTGGCCACAGTAATTACACCTCATGTCCCTCAAGTCCCATGAGGGGGGTCGCCCCGCCCCGGCAGTCCTGGGCACCCCTGAGTTGGGCTTCCTGTAGTCCCACCTTGGAGAGGTCTCTGGGAGACGCCCCCTCTGAGTCCCCGATGTGGGTCTCCCCCCTGCCCCCGATCTACTGTCCATGAACTCATCTGCCAGTGCCCCTGCACTGCGCAGATCTTTGGGCTTCCGGTCCACTAGCCACATCTTAAGGTCCGGAGGGCAGATGTCCTACAGCTGCTCCAACCCCACCAGGTTATACACATCCTCTGCGGTAGTGGCCCCTACGCCCTTCCCCCACTTGCAGAGATATTCCCCCAGCAGGTTGGTGACCTCCTTGTAAGAGACACCTGAGGCCTTGCGCACACCCCGGAATCGTTTCCTGTACGCCTCGGGGGTCAGTTCAAACTTCAGCAGCAAAGCCTGTTTGAACAGGTCGTAGTCCCCCATCTCAACACCATCCATTTGGCTGAACGCCTCTATGGCTTTGGGACCCAGCTGGGGGGTCAGACAGTGAAGCCTGTCTGCAAAGTCAGTCCTGATCAGATCACAACCCTTCTCAAAGGCTGTGAGGTCGGCATTAATATCCCCCACCTCCTTGAACTGGGGCAGCAGTTTGGTGTCTAGATTCCCCACACCACTGGCGTCTCAGGGCCCTTCCCCACTTACCCCGTGGCAGGCCCTCTTGGCCCGTCTCTCGTCCATCTCCAACTCGTGCTTCCGCTGCTCTACACGGTCTGCTCGTTCTCTCTCTCTGTCCACCAGCCTCCGCTCCTCCAGCTCCAGCTCCTTCGCTTTCAGCTGCAGCTCCAATCTCCGCAGCTCCTCTAGGGAGGAACCAGACTGGGGTCTCCCTGTACTGATTGGGGAGTCAGGTCTGACCCACTCCCGGTCACTACACAGACTGCCCCCCCGGCTACTCCTCGGCTCTCCGGGCACCCCGGGAGTGCCCCTGGGGTCTGTGTAGGGATATAAAAGAAGGTACTAACAGTGATTCCCCCAAGTGACAGTGACCCCCTCATAATTTGTCCCCCACACTTTAAAATCCAACCGTTTCACCAAGTACAAAAATCTCTTGGGTCTTCTGTTAAAACTTGTAAGCTCCTGTCTGTAGAAACCATTGATAGTATCTATCCTGTGAAAGATACTTTATTACTATGTAAAACTTACAAACAAGTTAATTGACTTTGTTCTTGAAGTAATTGATACAATGCAAACAATCACTATAAACCATTAGGTGACTTTCACTTCATTCAACGGCTCCTAGGACAGACCCCCACCCTCTGTGATTAAAGGGCCGGGAGTCTCAAAGGAATTAGCACACACCCCGAAAGTGGTGGAGACAGTAAATTAAAATATGGTTAAGGGATGGCATGTATGCTGATGAATGCTTGATGTACATGGATGGTTAGGGAGGTGCCAGCCTAGAAAGGGAGTATCCATTGGCCGAAGAATGTGTCAAGTAGGCCCACCAGACAACCCCCTGAGGGTAAACTGGGATCCACCCCATCACCTGGAAGGATGAAACACGAACTTTGGACAGTTTGGAGCCACCAGGAATGTGCCACTTTGGACAGGAATGTGCCATCTGCTGACTGAGTCAGCAACAGCAGGATGAAACAGCTCCCGTAGACTAACATAGGAATTAAATCCTATAAGAATGGACTCTAAAGACTGAGGACTTTGAGTCTCTGGTTCTGCTGCCAGCCTCCAGGAGCATCAGGTGCACCTGACACAGACTCGGCTCCATCCTCATGACCAAGATACCTGGCCAGTAACTTGGCATGAGCAACTTCTAGGCTGGTAACTATAACACCTATACAGAACTTGAATGACTGATTGTGAGTGTGTGTGTGTGTGTGTGTAAGGAATAAGTAGTGATAGGAATAGGTAGTCAAACAACGTTGTTTACTTTTATCTTTTGCTTTCTCAGTATATTTACAATAAATGTGGCATCTTTGCCTTATCCCTCTTAATAAGATCCTGCTGGTTTTTATTCTATTGGTATAACAATTGGGTCACGACAGGCTATAAACGCTTACAAATGGGTCCGTAGCCCAAAAAGGTAGAGAACCACTGACTTAGAATGGCCTTATGGCTGCTCCACGTTAGG